GGTTGGCAGGACCCCCGGCAGAAGAATAGTCAGCGGGACCCCCAACGGGACAGGACATAGGGTTGGCAGGACCCCCGGCAGAAGAGTAGTCGGCGGGACCTCGAACGGCACAGGACATAGGGTTGGCAGAACCCCCGGCAGAAGAATAGTCGGTGGGACCCCCAACGGGACAGGACATTGAGTTGGCAGGACCCCCGGCAGAAGAGTAGTCGGCGGGACAGGACATGGAGTTGGCAGGACCCCCAGCGGAACCTCCAGCGGCACTTGAGTAAGGACTTGAGTAGGGACTGGAGAGGGAACTCGAGAGGGGACTCGAGAGAGAGAGAGGGCTCGAGAGAGAGGGCTCGAGAGAGAGGGCTCGAGAGGGGACTCGAGAGGGAACTCGAGAGAGGGCTCGAGAGAGGGCTCGAGAGGGGACTCGAGAGAGGGCTCGAGAGAGGGGACTCGAGAGAGGACTCGAGAGGGGACTCGAGAGGGGACTTGAGAAGGAACTTGAGAGGAGACTTGAGACGGTCGGTTCGCCGACAGAACACGGGGGGCTGGAGTCGGTCGGAATGCCGAGAGCCAGTACTGGAGCCGAAACCATGGCTGCTGGGGCCGGTTCTGGAGCCGGAACCATGGCTGTTGGGCACGGAACAGATGCCTGGACCCTGGCTGTGTGAGCCAGGTAATGGAGCACGGAAGCATGGCTTTGTGGGCCGGTTCTGGAGCCTGAACCATGGCTGCTGGGGCCAGAACTGGGGCCGGAACCATGGCTGCTGGGGCCAGAACTGGGGCCGGGACCATGGCTGCTGGGGCCAGAACTGGGGCCGGAACTATGGCTGTGTGGGCCGGTTCTGGAGCCCGAACCATGACTGTGTGGGCCGGTACTGGAGCCGGAACCATGGCTGTGTGGGCCGGTAATGGAGCTGGAACCATGGCTGCTGGGGCCTGTACTGGAGCCCAAAGCATGGCTTCTGGGGCTCGGGCTGCTAGCCTGGCCTTGCGACTCCTTCTCTTGGGAGCCTTTTGGAGGCTCCGTGGACCTCCAAAAGCCAGACGAGTACCCAAGAACGGCTCCTGGACAGGAGCAGGAAATGGGGAAGAAGCAGGGGTTGACTCCAGACGGAACACACCGAGACGTATGGTGTCAGGTTGGGAATTGGGAAGCAGGGGACTAGCATGCCTGGGGCTAGCAGGCCGGGAATCACATGTCGACAGGAAGTCCAATATCCAGTCAGGTAAGAACTTCACTAAACATGGATCCACTGTTGCCACCTCGTGAGCCTCTGCCAGAGCAGCCTCTTTCTGCAGAACACTGGACGCTCCCCTCCACCTACCATAGCAGCAAGCCAATGAAAAAGTAAAATTGAGTAAATCCACCTCAAATGGATCTGCTGGGCCCATCTTTGGTTAGATCTTTCTGTTAGGGTGAGAGAAGCAGGCAGGACCCAAATGGAGATTGAACAGAAAAATACCTTTATTTCAAGGTTTAGGTGACAAAACAGAACACTACCCTGTGAACACAGTCACAGACAAACAACGATCTAACAAAGACAGACAGAAAAACCAGAACTAAAATACACACAGGACTAATCAAGGAAACAAGAGACAGGTGAGGAGGGAGGAGAAAACACAGGGGCACCAGGTGAACACAATCAGGAAAACAGGTAGGAGGGAACAGGTAGGAGGGAAAACATAGACAGGAAACCAAATACAGATCTAGACAAGACAAAACACAACACAGACAGAAAACCAAAGACAGATCTAGACAAGACAAAACACAACACAGACAGATCATGACATTGACGTTATATTGCTGTTGAAGAACAAGGCTTCTCTTGTAGTCTGCGGATTTGATTTGTAATCACATGTATTTATTTATGTATACATCAATATTTAAGGCTATGAATGATAGACTTTTAATTTAGAAATCCTTTATTCATCCACAGCGGGACATTTACAGCGTTACAACTGCTGGTTAAGTGCCGATAAGAGGCAAAATAAAATAGTTTACTGACATGTTAAATAAAAAGCAAGTACATAATAAAAAAGGCCTGTTCATACCTTTAATACATTTTCAACTTTTAAGAAAGCAATCCTAACTTAAGGTTGCCAAACAGAGATGTTTCTGATGATGTGCAATAGCTGATGCACTTTCGGGAGATTTTCTAAAAGTTCTTGATGTTTGAATCATTACCTTGTACTTTTATGAAATGTTTATATTCTCCCGTTCTACTCTTTGGCTTGTCAATTCAATTATTAACTCTGCAGAGCAATCTGTACAAAGCTTGTTTTAACAATCATCTGCTGGAGGCTAAATCGGAGTTTAATAAGCAGGATTTTGTGACACCACAAACTATTTTGGAAACCAATCATAATCCAGCATGCAACTCACCAAGGATATGGAAACCCTGACGCTGACAGTGCACAAACACTGAGAAGTGCCTTTACAGTGAAATAGGAGACATCTTCAGACTATTTAAAAATGAGTTGCTTCTAAAGAAAGTGTGTGAAAAACCACATTGGACTAATTATTGTAAACATTTCCGCTGTGGGTTGATTAAAGGATTGCTGCTTCTGATTATTGAAAGGGTATTTGTAAATCTTATCAAACTAAGGGGAGGATCTCTATAAAAAAGAAAATAAGAAAGTGTGTTTTGGTGCGGTCATAAGTCTGTTGCACCTGTAAACACACCCACAGTGATGTCACGGTGACACGCCTAAGAGAACACCTGTACATCACAGCTCTCTGCAGCAAGGTGACAAGTTACACCTCTGGAGGTCAGCACACACGGTGGGTGTTAGTTTTCTTTTTTAAGCTTTTCTTGAATGAGACTTCATTATTGCTATTGCTAAGGGTTATACTAGCTACAGTTCTGAACATGCAAGACCATTTAGTAGTCTGTTCACTTATTAAGATCATGTGATGTAGCTGAACGTTTCAGTAAAGTCTATCTTAAATTGGGATTGATTGACTATTTCCGCTTTAAAAAATGTTATCACAGTAGAAGTTGAATGTCTCCTTTACTCAATCAGAACTACAATTATCACTGTTATGTACGATACATACATTATACACCATCTCAACACCTATATAGGTTCACTTATTATTATTTTTAACCATGGATGTGTAAACAGGAACCTTTTTATAATGTTGTTCACTACTTTGCGTGTCTTTAAATATAAAATGTCAGCTAACCTTTAACAGCTAACTTTTTTGCCTTTTATCTGCACTGTCACGTTTGCTGTAACCCTTTATATTTCCCTGCTGTAGAACATGTAAAGGAATTCTGATTTAAAAAAAATGTGTACCGATATGTTAATAATACACATTATGATAAATAATCCAGAGCCTCTTAAAATACACTTTTTTGGTTGTGGTTGCTGACTCTCTACACCTCCCTAAACTTTTTAGGGGAATTATATTGCCAAAAAAAAGAAGACAAAGCACACAATAAACAAAGTTGACATATTTAATTTATTGATCCAAACTTGGGACATCGTTTTATTACTGCAGCAAAGCACGAGTTACTAAATAAAAAACAAAATAACCAAACAGTAAATAGATACAGATCAACAAAAGAAAGATATTTATATATAGAGTATATCTATCAAATACACAAGAATAAAGGTAAGAATACACTATCATAGACCAACCTACTACACAATGTTAACATAGGATACTTTAAGTTACAATTAGTTTGACTGATAGCCTTTTATTAATTTCCAACTTCATATAGATATTGTGAATTATTTTGGCCATTATAATCCTGTAATGAAATAGTAATGTGCTTTTATGACACATGAATACCCCGGATATAAAGATGTATTGAACCAAATATGGCCTGGTCACAACTTCCCAGTTGTCTTCGCCTATAATGTCTCTCTGTGGACAGAAATTACAACTAGAGTTTATTTGGGTCATGGGGGAAGATGCTTTCGGCATGTTCATTTTTATTTTGGCCTCAGAAGATGTTATTTAGTGTGCCTTTAACAGTTTTAGGGAGAAAGTGACTGGCAGGTCAAGCCCACATACTTCAGGTGAAGTTTGAAGAGGCACGTTGTAGGTCCACAACAACTTCATAAGCCCAGAATGAAAACAAACGCACATTGCATCCACATTAAACATTTGAAGCCCACCAAATAAACGGAACATCCGGGAAACGAAATCCGATCTGCAAAAGACGTGGAATGTCTTGTTTCTTTTCTTCCGCCCTTCAGACTCGGTAATGATGGAGGAGTAAAAAAGCGACATGATTGGTGGATGCAGCCGGCAGAGGAGAAATGTAAACCCCTTCGTTTTGTTGCATCGGGGGGGTTAAAACTGAACGCTCCCCTCTTGTTTTTTTCTCTCCTTCTTTCCCTTCAATGACAGCAGGAGCCAGCCGGGCGGTGCGGAGGGAAGCTTCCCCCGGAACGAGAAGGATTTCCATGCGAGTCTGCGGTAAGGACAACAACAGAACAACACCACCACCTAGAATAAACAACACGCAATGCGAATCACCAGGAAGGGAGAGAAAAAACACACACAATACACAATGGTGTTGCCTGGGGCTGCCGCGATAGCTCTCAGACAAACCCGGGACACACTCGCTCCGGGTTCGCTTGATGACAGCTGCAGGGCCAATGGAAATATGCATGGAGCCAGCTGCGCCTAGCTGCAGCCAATGGAAAAATGTGAAAAGTTGAGCCTCCACTATGATCAGGTTAGGCTGGCTGCAGCAGCCACACCGCCGCTAAACTTCCACCAAATAAAATAAGAGAAGCTGTTTTTGTCTTGGCTGTTGCAGTGGCCATTTTAGGTAAGAAGCCCCCTTAACTTTTGGATGTTTTTGTGGAGGTGTGTGTGGTGTCTAGACTGGAAAAAGTGTGCAGGACTCCGGCATCCAGACTGAATAAACTCCGCTTTATGTGGATTAAATAGATATTGCACTCCTCCTCTTTTCATCCCTCCTCCTCCTCCTCCTCCTACTTCCTCGCCTCCCCTCCCCTCCCCTCTAGCTCCCCATCTCTCTCTCTCTCTCTCTCTCTCCCCTCCCTCCCCTGCCTGCTAATTTTTTATGCATTTTTCTAAACTGTCATGGCGATTTTGTGTCCTTGGAAATAAAAAGCGCCAGTGTATTTTTCGGGCTAACAGGGGTGATGTCTCGCCGGTGAGAGCGTCTGTCCGGTGTCCGGTGCAGGTGAGCTGTCCGCCGGGAGGGTTTTTCGGTGGAGAGATGTCCCCGAGAAGGAGTTTTAGAGGCTGTCCACACGTGTAAAGGAGAGGAGCTGTTATAATGTATTTACAACAGCGATGCAGTGACATTACACAGCTAGCGGAGAAAGCTAGCTCGGTAGCAGCGGGGTGCTAACATGAAATAGGACACTGTGTCTCCTTTTCCCTGTCGGTGTGTGTTTTGTGTTTTTCATCCTGGGAACTTCTTTATTTTCCTCCTAGCTAGCCCTCTCCCAACTTGTGGCAATTCATTGGCTGGGCTGGGAACATTCAAGCTAGCTGTGTGTTAGCCCCTGCGTCTGTTAGCATGGATATTATGGCTAAAACCTGAAAGAGGTGTAAGCTAGGTTGTTAGCTACTTAGCCTCTTTTAACATGTGTAGCTGCAGCAGCCAGGTGTGTGTGCGGTGCATACAATGAGTCATGCAAGTACATGGAGTCTTGGAGTGGAGGTACAAGTACATTGAGTCATGAAGTGGTGGTGGAAGTACATTGAGTTATTCAAGTACATTGGGTCTTGAAGTGGTGGTGTTTTTCCATCTGTCCCACACTTTCACCTGGCCAGGTTGGACAGCAGGGGGGCAACAGACAAAAGAATGGGCCATAACCTGACCCCAATCTTTGTGATGTGATTGAATGTTAATGCATATGGGAAAGAGTTACATATTTTCTGAATAAATGTTGGTATTTGAATATACTTTAACTCAATAATATTAATAATACATTTTATTTAGAGGCACCTTTCAAAGCACCCAAGGACACCTTACAATTCAGAAAATTGTACACAAGAAACTCACTCATTTAGAACTGTTGAACTCCTTTGTATTCATACTAAGAAAATGGCATAGATGTGTATTCCTGGTTACATTCAGTTTATTCACTTGCAATTAATCTGCAATTGAAGTAACACAAATCCTTGTGGTATGATTTTATGGTCAAATGCATGGTCATTATGATTATGAAAAATAGTTCAACACGTTTTCTCAACATATTTATACTTTTTACATGTATGTTTTATGTCTGGGTTACAACTACTTCCTCTTTTGTAAACATATATAAACATGTACTTACCATAATGCGTATACATTAATTCCTGTTAACATTAAGTGTATTAATTCGCATTTTCGGACACTTGCACAGACCTTTCATACAAAAGTTGCACAGGTTTCCGTATAATATTTAGACTTCTGTATATTAGATTCCTTTTATATATACTTTTACCTATATTTAAACTTATCATAATGCATATACATTTATTACATTCATGTTTGGATTTAGTTTACATGTGCTATTAATATCTACTATTTTATAATCTTCTATTTTGCACAACTATTATGTGGGTTGCCAAGAGCCAATCCAAGTCATTGTGCTCTGACTTGCATGATTTGTGCATAAAATATACATGTATATAGTTACAGTATATATTTGATTGTATTAATATTCACTTACTAATTTCCTTACACTTTGTTTAATCATTTGCAATAAAAATCTTATTTATTTAACTTTATTATATATCTTTCTTTGTCATACTTTATCACTTTTCTTGTTTAAAGTTACCTTCAGTTTTTAATTTGAATGCTCTTTTTTTCTTGGTTATACATATTTAATTATCATTGTTGGAGGGAGACCTTAGGTTTCCATTGCCATCGACCGCTTCTTTAATTTTGATTATGATAAATAAAGAACTTGAGCTTTAGAGTGACGGCTTTGGCTACAGGGTGTTTTGTAGGTACCCTCCTGGATGATGTCGGGATGGAGACGCATTTTTCTTTAAATCGTCTTTAATTGGATTAACAATGTGCAACAATAGAAAGGAATGTCTTTAATAGCTTCTCATCTAGAGGCTTTTGTGTTTTTTAATAAGCTTAAAGGATGCTTGTTGAATTCTCCTCAGGATGACAGTGTTGCAGTGTTTGATCAGCAGGAGGCACAGTGACCCAGTGGTAGAAAACCTCTCGGGGGGACGGGGGGGCTCCCGGCAGTGCTTTATTATTTGTTGTTGTTGCATGTGGTACCTGTGTCGGTCTCTTCCCCCATAAATAAGACGTGCATCAGGTCATCTGAACACACTAATCTGAATGTGACTTACTACTTTCTCCTTATTTGTGATAAGGAAAACGTTTTTAGTGTCTTGTTTGCAGAACTGCTGCTGCACTAGGACTCCTTTATGATGAGTGAAGAATAACAACTTTTTCCCCGTTTGCAAGAATGTTAAAACGGCTAAAATAGGAGTAGTGACGTTTTATTAGATTGTATAAGTCCAGGGTTGCACATGTATTTGTTAAATGCAAAATATGTGTTAAAATACCTTTTTTGAGAGATTTGCCAACCTAGACATCATTTTCTACAGACTGAAGAACATGTCTTTGTTCATTATGGATCCTCCTTTATCAATTTTAAATTGATTAGTTTCAAAAAAAGAAATGGTCACCTCATATGAGGAATCCCATCCCAATTGTAATTTCTTCAAAATAATTGCTACCATATTTTTTCAAAATCATGCAGCCCCAAAGCACACTTTTTATTTTATTTTAATACATATTTGAAAAGTAATACTGAAAATAATCATCTGCGGTTTATATTCATGCTGATGCAGAATAAATACATGATGCCAGATGTTTTCAGCAGGTGTTTGTAGATCAAACAACAGTAAGTTAAAATACCAGCAAGTGTTGGCATGGCGCCTTTACTCCACTGATCATTTATTTTTGTAACAATACATGTTTATATTTGTAACACTTAGTCATTTTTGTTTGTATTTAGACACCCAGTTTTGAACACAGTGTTTCTTTGTATTTCTGAAAGCCTTTTGTGATAATTATAGGGTGCAGATGACCCCTTTCTGTCATTTTACAAAAACGTAACCTTCTTAATTGAGGAGACAGTGTGACGATAACATCTTACAGCGAAACTTTCAAATACACACCTGTTGTAAGCTAGAGCAAACATGATTTGCCATATTTTGCCAAACAAATGTTGTTATTTATATATTTCAATCTATTTAATGAAATGAATAATGAAATTAGGACAGATGACAATGCGTCCCACATTTATACATGAAAGGGACTTTCAGGCTTGTTTAAAATAAATTCCTTTATCTTGTTTTGTTCGAAAATACAAACACAAGCACATTATTGCAACTCGGCGACCCACTGTCAGTTAGGTCTAAAAAGTGATACTTTCGTATAACATTGAAATTAATTCCTAAACTTGCATGAAACATAAAATATAAAAAGTTACTAAAAGCCGGCTTGCAATTAACCCGCAAAACAACTGCTGAAAATGATTAGCACAAATACGCAACTCATACACAAGCCACAAGTTGTTCCACTAATGGCGTTTGTACATTTTAGCAAACAAGTGACGCATTGTTTCGCAAAATGCATTTGTAATTTTTCTGGTAAAACTACCATAAAAAAACGCTAGCTTGTTACAATAACATGTTCAGTATACATCTTTTAAAAACTTTTGCTCACCTTTTAGAAATACAGAAACACAAGCACATCAATGCAAGATGTCTGCATACTTCCGGCTCTGAGTGATTCCATTTCACCGATTCGACCCCTGAGCTGCCTTCTGTGTCTGTGTGAGCTTTGCTCCTTGTAACCTTAACTTGACCTACTTAATGTTACAGCTGGCATTGCACATGAACATAAATCACTTTATTATTTCCATTATACAATGTTAATTCACTCCATTAAAACAGATCCACAAAATATTCTAGAAAGTATGTTTTTGTTTACATTGTCAGATAACCCCTTTAATTGACCTACTTAATATATTTATCATTACGTGGTTTTGTACTGGAACAGATACTAAATGTGTTTCTAACATTCTTGCCCCCTCGTGTTTGTAAGGGATTTTAAAACACTACATTCTAATACAGTGCAGTCCAGTTCAACACTTCTGCAAACGCTGCACAAAATGCAAAAAAAGTTGTTACATTTTGTTGTACTAAAACTATGAAATATGCGGGACATCGTCTCAATTTGCGGGACGCACTATAAGTCGTGAAAATTCTGTGCAGTCCCGCGCAAAGCGGGACATCTGGTCACCCTAGTTGCACCTCCATCCACAGTTTAATTTCCTTTGCCTTCATTTCCTTTGTGCATTGCATCGTCTATTTTACTAAGTCTGTTTTTAGTATACGTCATTTCCCTGTATTACCCAAGTCCCAAGAAAGTGCGCCGGACTCTGAGGAAAATATTCGTTGTGGCCAAACGGCGGTACTGCAACTTCCGTATCAGTCCGTGGCGAAAAGAGACGTCTGTAAATCAGCGGATAACCTTTTTTAAACTAAATAAATTACCCAGTATGAACTATTGTATAGCCCTTATTACAGAGGTGCCCAGTACGTCGACCGCGGGGGCGAAGCTGGTAGATCGCGAGTCATTCATAAAAAAAAAATCCAGCTCCGTTAAAATGGACAAAACAGGTTTTGATCCCTCCTCCCTTGGCCTCCCTGCCACTTAATTCAGGAGTTTACTTGATTGACAGAAAAAGCGACCTATCGCTTTCCAGTCTGTTAACCCAGAATGCAAAGCGATACAAAATCAGTCAAGTGCCGGAAAACTCAAATTTAAGTTAAAGAGACAAACAAGAGACAAACAAGAAAATGGGTGCGGGACCGAGCAAGAAGCTAAAGACAAACCACTTCCACACAGAATGGGAGGAAGAATATTTGTTTGTGATGTCACATTCAAAGGTTATTTGCCTTATTTGTAAAGCAAGCGTCGCTCTGCCAAAGAAAGGTAATGTGGAGAGGCATTATCGGAGTGTTCACAAGGCATATGACAGCGACTTCCCTCCGAGTAGAGAGTTGAGAAAGGTCATGTATTATTGCTACACAAACATTATCTCGCAGTCTTAGTGTCGCCAACTCGTTTCTAATATGCAAAAAGACAAACAAATGCGTCTATGGTCGGTGTATTTTTGACCTTTCCGATCGAGACGAGATCTCTCTCTC